AGAGAGAGAGAGAGCATACGTCCACACATTGAGAGTCTCGTTGTGCCAAGAGAAAACACTGAGAAAGGCTTCCTTCAAAGGCCATTCCACTCGGTAGTAATGCAATATGTACTCATTGTCCTTCATGTAGTTTGGCAATTCTTCATAATTCACCAAACCTAAGTTCTTCTTCTTGCACTTTCTGCCTTCTTTTTTCTCCTCCATCTTTTTCTGGATCTTCTGAAAAGAAAAAAAAAAAAAAAGAAACCCTAACCTAGATTCCCTAAACCTCCATGGCTTTTGGTTTACTCTCTGACATAAACCAGGCCATGGGTATATTTCCTTTTTTTTTCAGGACCATTTGATCCCATTATATGCTTTCTTATTTTCATGCATTTAGTGCAAAATGGGCAGCTCATCCGCACAACTACCAACTATTTATTCATTTATATGTTGGTAAAATGACTATATTGCCCTCGTAAGCTTGTCCAAATACTAGGATCCATACGCTTGCCGTGGTTCAAAATAACCCCCAAGGAGTGGAGGTAAGCATGATATAATGCAAATAACCCCCAAGGAGTGGAGGTAAGCATGATATAATGCGGCAATGACTGGGGTTTAAAATGGAAAAAATAATATAAATGTTTAAAACATTAGGATTTAGGTGATATTCTAAAAAATATCTTGTATAACCGATGTCACCAAGTGGTCAGGCCTTCATTAATGCTTTGAGTGGTTCGGTCTAAAATAAAATACATATTTGGTTTCGGGTGTGGTTTGTATAGAGCCTAGGCTCTAAACAATCAAATTAGAGTTTACTTTCAAATAGTATCAAGAACTGTGGTTTCACTATTGAAAATCTTTGTGATAGCCTTAAAATATATTTTCATATTTATTTATAAAACTTAAAGCTTAAAAAATACTGTAGGTCGACAAATCTATGAAAATCTTGAAAATTGACTATCCAAAAATGCATTACAAAATATACTATTTCTCAAACTTGATATCCATTTTTTTTCTCATGTCCATGCATCTTGATGTCGAAATGATTAATTTGAAGATATTTGAGCATCAAAACAATCTCTTTTAATAAAATTTTTGAGGTAGGCTCAAATTTGATTGTTTAGAGCATCAACTCTATATAAAATTTTCCCTTTGGTTAAAACTTGCAAAAATCTCTGATAATTTTGACTAACCTGGATTAGCCAAACAAGATTAAATAACATTTCCTTGTATTAATATTACAAAGAAAAACTTTATATAGAGTTGAGACTCTAAAAAATCAAATTACAACCCACCTCAAAAATTTTATTAGAAGAGGTTGTTTTGATGCCCAAATATCTTCAAATTGAGCATCTCGACATCAAGATGCATGGACATTAGAAAAAAGTAGATTTCAAATTTTGGAAATAGTACATCTTCTAACACATTTTTTTATCGTTAATTTTCAAGGTTTTTCAAGTTTCATAGATCTACTCAATCTGCACTATTTTTTATGATTTAAATTTTATAATTAAAGAAGAAAATATGTTTTAAGGCTATCACAAAGATTTGTAGTATTGAAACGACATTTCTCAATGTTGTTTGAAGGTGCGTTTTACTTTGTTTGTTTAGAGCCTCGGCTCTATACAAACCGCACCTATATTATAATAGTAAAAATTTCCTGTATGATATTTATAAGTTTAAACTATTCTTCTTTGGAAAAAGTGATATAAGGTTGTAACCTTAAAATGTAGAATTAAAGATGCACCTCAAAAATCTATTGAAAAGGTTGTTTTAATATTAAAAAGGCTCTAATTAATCATATTGACATCTAGATGTATGAATATGAAAGAAACAAAAAGATTTTAAATCTCATAAACAATGCATCTTGCAACACATTATCTAGACCATCCATTTTCAAGATTTTCATATGCTTATAGATCTACTTGATTTTAACTATTTTTGGAGTTTAAAATTTTTAAATTAGAGATGAAAATAGAATTTTAGATAATTCTAAGAATTTTGGCCACCAAAATTATTTGTTATGATAAAATTTGAATACGCGCCTTAATTGGATTGTTTAAGGTTGCAACTTTATACAAAACCATACATTTCTTCATTCTTTTTTTATTTTTTTCATATTTATTCTAACCAATTTAACTAGTGGCTTGATCGGTTTTGACTAGACTATACTCGATCAATGACAAAACGATGGGATTAGTTTTGACTAGATCAGATTGGTTTGGTTTGATGATAGGGGTCGGGCATATCCCTTCAAAAAACAGTTGGAAGTCTCCCATTGGTGATAGAGGTAAAAATATTGAAACAAAAAGAAGAACATGGACATCCAAAATTGTGCACCCCAAAAAGAGGGAGAAGTTGAAAAGACCCAATCCAATATTCAAGAGAAAGGAAGAGAGAGGGAGTGTAAAAAAGACGAGGCTAATCCAAAAGAGAGAGTGTGGTTGAGAGTAAAAAAAGAAAAACCCAATCCAAGAGAAAGGGATTTAGAGTGAAAAAAGAAGAATTCAATCAAGGGGGAGAGTGTGAGTGATAGTGAAAAAAGAAAAACTATCCAAGAGAGGGAGAGTGCAAAAATAAAAATAAAACCAATCCACTATGTCTTTTTTCTATTTTGATTTATTTTTCTTACATCAAATTTTGTAGTATACTTGAGATATCATAATTAGGTTATAATATAGTGAAATTAATTTGCACTTTTTGGTATATGCTATTTTTTGGGTTGTTAATTTATTAAAGTTCATATACACTGTGTTTGTTGGTTGTTAACTTAAGAGTTTTTGTTTTTGAAAAAAGCTATATAGAACAAATTTAACGGAATAAATTGTTAGGGGAGAGAGGAGTTTTTGTTTTGAAAAAAAGCTATATAGAACAAATTTAGCAAAATAAGTTGTTAGGGGAGAGAGGGGTTACTGGATGGAAAAGAAGTTTGACTTCAACTAATGACTAGCAAAGGGATGAAAAGTCTACTTTCACAGAAAGGAAATTGGGTCTCACATCAATCTACTGAAGAGCTTTAATCATTTAATACGTTATAAAAGGTTGGAGGCTTATTAGTTTAGTCCCACATCTAAGGCGCTAGGAAGAAAATGGGGTATGCAACTTTATTTAAAATGGGGAATGCAACTTTATAAATATAAATAGTTGATGGGAAAAGCTCCTACAAGGCCGTGCATGTATGATGAGAGAGTGTGGAGGGCTTTTTGCCACCTCAAATGTACTTAAAGTTATTGCAAAACTGACTGGACTTATTTGAAAAATTGGTTGGTTATGTCAATGGGAAAGCTGGTTTTGTCGGAGACAAACATGAAACCTAGTTGGTTTTGTTAGAAAATTGGTTGGTTTATGGGAAACTTTGTTTAAACAAAAGGTTTTACCAGAATTTGTCAATGAGAAACCTGGTTTTGTCAATGGGAAACCTGGTTGGTTTTGTTAGAAAATTGGTTGGATTATGGGAAACCTTGTTTAAACAAAAGGTTTTGTCAGAATTTGTCAATGGGAAACCTGATTGGTTTTGTCAAAGACAAACATGAAACCTGGTTGGTTTTGTTAGAGAATTGATTGGTTTATGGGAAACCTTGTTTAAACAAAAGGTTTTGTCAGAATTTGTCAATGGGAAACTTGGTTTTGTCAATGGGAGCCTGATTGGTTTTGTCAGAGACAAACATGAAACCTGGTTGGTTTGTTAGAGAATTGGTTGAAAAAAAATTCTAAACAAAAATATATGTAATAAGAATTAGGTTTTGGTGAGTTTTGACTCATATATTTATGCGCATCCCTCTAGAACTTATCTTAAGGATGGATTCCATTTATAGGCATCCCTCCAAAATTTATATTAAAGATAGATTCTAGGTCCAAGCTTTTAAGAATCGGTAGATAAAATAACGATTTGGGTCCAAGCTTTTAAGAATTGGTGATCTTAATCAGAAGGATCGCAAATGTTAAAAACAAAGTAAATTTAAAAATTTGAGTGTGACTCCTTTTTTTAAAACTATTCATTTCGAGTTTTGATCGAGTCCCCTTTTTTGTTGCTTATCTTAAATACGAGCCTTTGTTGTTCAAGATGGCATATGCGTTCCTGACCAAACACTTGTTCTTTCTTAAAATACTATGGTAAAATTATTTCCATACTACAAATAGAGAAGGGGATTACACGGAGGTCCATTTTTTTTATAGATTTTATGTGGAGGTCTATTTTTTTTTCAATTTTGCTCTTTTGTCCGATGTTCTAACTTCTAAGCATGAAACTACTTTTTTTTTTTTGCCAATCTGTTGAACCTCGAACCAATCTTTGGACTAAAATTTCAATCTAGGGATCAGTCCGAGTTTCCAAATCTTGGACCTTTGACTTGCGTGAACATTGTACTATCCAAGTGGTTCGAGTTTCTAGACCTCGGACCGCCTGGCTTCCACAATGTTCATGCAAGTGAAGTGATATGAGGTTTAGAACCCTGGACTGGTCCTTACACTTCAAAAATTTTAAAATAAAATAAAAAAACAAGCGGACATAGGATAGAGGAGCAAAATTGGTAGAAATAAAAAAAGGTGAAAAAAACAACGTTATGATGTTTGGAACATCGGACCATGAAGCCCCACGTAATTTTTGATAAATTTCTAACCTCCCGGTTTGAGGTTCCAAACCTTAGACTTTTGTGACTTGAGTGAATATTGTACAAGCCAAGCGGTTCGAGTTTCCAAACCATGGACCAAGGCTTCCACAATCTCCATGCATGCGAAGCGATCCAAGGTTTGGAACTCTGGACTGATCCCTACACTTCAAACATTGAAAAATAAAATAAAAAAAGCATCGGTACATAAGATGGAGAGGAAAAATTGGTCGAAATAAAAAGGAAGAAAAAAATTTGAAACATTGGACCGGTGGAGCCCCATGTAAATTTTTATAATTTTTTTTCCTCCCAGTCCGAGGTTCAACACCCTAGACTTTTGACTTGCGTGAACATTGTACAAGCCAAGCGATTGGAGTTTCCAAACCTCGGACCACCTGGCTTCCACAATGTTCATGCAAGCGAAGCGATATGAGGTTTGGAACCCTGCATTGGTTTCTACACTTCAAAAATTTAAAAATAAAATAAAAAAAGCATCGGAACGGACAGAGGAGTAAAATGGGTAAAAATAAAACTGGAGAAAAAATAACGATATGATGTTTAGAACATCGAACCGGTAGAGCTCCATCTAAATTTTGATAAATTTTTTACCTCCGTGTAATTATCATACTTAAACGTCGTACGGATGTAAAATTTCCATTTTTATGTGCATTTAAACTTCGTAAAAGTTTCTCTTTTTGGATTTTCCTTTTTTTTCTTTCATTGATAATTTCCCCCATCTCTTTCAAGGGATAGTTTTTGAGAAAAATATATAATAACATGATTTATTAAATTATCAATT